CATATGTACAAATATCCTTGATACAATCGATGTATGGATGGGTTGTTAAAAGAGTTGTAAGAGCTCTCAATAAAACGATCTTTGAATTATAAAAAAATGTAATCATCTGCATCTAAACAAACTAAAATTTCACAGCCAAAACATATACAGATTGTGTATTTATCCCAATCTAAACAAATAGAGGAAGAATTAGATTACTGACGAATTTCAGCAAATGATTATTTCTAGTATATTCCCAAAGCAAGCTTCACAAACCACCGGCCATATATATAACAACAACAAAATAAGAGGTTCTATAGTCAAATGGGAAGAATCCTTGGTGGCACTGTGGGATAAGTGTTAAACTGTCAGCCACAAGGTTAGTAGTTCAAACCCACCAGTTGTTCCAGGGGGGAAAGACAAAGCTGTCTACTCCTGTAAAGATTTATAGTCTCAAAAGCTCTAGACAGGGTTGCTAGGAGTCCCCTGGATGGCAGTGGGTGATGGGGTGTTTTGGTACAGTCAAGTAGGAGTCGCTGAGTGGTGCAAAGGACTACTCTTGTCTTACTGGTAAAATGTTTAAGTCCACATTGAGACGCTTCAGAAGAAAGGCACGATCATCTACATCCAAAAAATCAGTCACTGACACCCTTAAAAGCACAGTTCTACTCCAACACACATGGAGACTCCATGAGCCAGAATCCATTCAATGGAACTGGTTGCTCATAGTCAATTAAGTGTGGGAAACCCTCAGTTAAACAAGCTTATTGATTACAGGACTTCCCAGAGCTTGTTAGGTGTTTATATGATTTAGGACTGAACTGCTGACCGAAAGGCTCGAGGTTCAAACCGGCCAGGCAGCCACTCAAGGGAGAAAGATGTGACCATCTGCTTCCATAAAGACTGAGAGCCCGGGGGCCGGAGAAGAACAGCAGCCGGAGCACTTCGTAGTCAGCGCTCCCTGATGTGTCTTCTGCCAAAGACTCCTTGTATTTCTGCAGCTCAAAGCAAGGGCCAACCTGATTTAAGCTCTCCCACGATGACCAAGCAGCTTGACTATGGCCTGGAGACCATTGAGGACGAAGCGGAATCCACCCTCGCCAACTTTACCAAGTACCTCTCAGCCCTCCAAGGTTTCAGGAAGGCCCTGCGCCTGGTCATGCAGGAGGAAGAGCAAGCCAGCAAACAAATCAGCAAGAAACAGCCCCAGTGGTGACTGCACATAAAATTTAAAATAATGGAAGTCGCCCACAAGCTTTTTGAAGCCCTCTTGTATATCTAGCACACAAATTTTGCCTGTTCAGTTATTTACAGGTTTAAGCCTTATTGACACCAATGACAAGAACACGTTTGCAAGCGTACCATTCCACGATCCACGTAGTTTTTCCATCCCCGCTATCCTCCACCCCCCACTTTCTGTATACTGGCCCTAGCAACCACTAATAAACTTTGATATCTATAAAAAATTTAAAAAAAGATTGACAGTCTTTGAAAGTATGTGAGGCAGCCTACTCTGTCCTACAGTGTGGGTGGGTGGGTAGCATTTCTTCAAACTCATTTAGGCACAGGGTCATTTTCCCTCAACAGTCTGCAGAACAGACTTTGGCAGATGCTAATTCATACAAAAGAGAAGGTGATGTAAGACCACTGGAAGAGTTTAAATCCACATCAATGCTCTTGGGAAAAGATGCAAAAACTTGGCAACCTGCAGCCAAAGCAACAAGGGCTTTGGAGGATGCTTATTTTAAGGTTGTTGTTGTTGTTGTTGTTGTTTAGTGATAGTGATGGAAAGGGAGGGCTGGAGGAATTCTGAGGGCCTACCGCTTCCCTGAGCGAATTCCACATGGGAGAAATGCTTATTAATAACCTGGGGTTTGGCGATGGCACAGCCTTGCTTACTGAAAGTGAGGGAGCCCTGAAGCACATGCTGATGAAGATCAGGATTGCAGCCTCAGTATGGATCACAGCTCAATGTAAAGAAGACCCAACCCTCACAGGTGGACCAATAGGTGACATCATAACACAAGGAGAAACGACTGAAGTTGTCAAGGATTTCATCTTGCTTGGATCCACAACGAGTGCCCATGGACGCATCAATCAAGAGCTCAAACAACACATTCCATTCCATAAATCTGCTGCACAAACCTCTTCGAAGCGTTGAAAAGCAAGGATGTCACTGTGCGGACTAAGGTGGGCCCAATGCAAGTCACAGCACTTTCGATCACCTCATAGACAGGTGAAAGTTGGGACACTGAATAAGGAAGACCAACAGAAATGTGATGCATCTGAACTATGGTGCTGGTGACGAAGACTCAAAGTACCATGGAAGAAGTACAGTTAGAATGCTCCCTAGAGGCAAGGATGACCAGACTTCCTCTCACGTTCTTTAGGGTACTTTCAGGAAAGACCAGGACCTAGAGAAGGGCATCATGCTTGGTAAAAGTGGAGGGGCAGCAAAAATAAATAAATAAAAAGGGCCCTTGACGAGATAGATTGGCACAGCGGTTGCAATGGGCTCAAACCTAAGACTTGTGAGGACGGCGCAGGACTGGGCAGTGTTTCCTTCTATTGTACACAAGGTTACTGTGAGTTGGAACTGACTGGACAGCACCTACCACCCTCTATTCCCTGAGCTCTTCCCTCACGGTCATTGTCGTCGTGTTGTTCTTGTTAGATGCCATGGAGTTAAGTCCCTGTACTAGGCAAAAAAAGCGACCTGAGAGCAAAATAAGACCTAGAGTCTTAAATGTGACAAGGGACACAAGCCACACGCAAGTGAACTGGATGAGGTATCTTAATAGTGAGACCACGGCACACATAAATTCTTCAGTGATGAGGCGCATGCCCACAGGCATGATCATCCGCACTGTCCACTGAACAAGCGAGCTCTCCGGAGAGCTTCCAGGGACCCTGGCAGGAGGCCTAATAAAAAGTGAGCAGTGGGGCATAAGGCAAATTTCGTTTAACTTTGCTTTTAATGCCCTGAAGAAAAATGGGAAACGGACATTTGCTCAAAGTAGTTCAATCCCCCACTCAAGTGAAGCTTCTTCTACTCGGTCACACCCTTGTCTCCGCCTGGAATGCTCCCTCCTCACCCCATCGCACTTCACCTCTGTAACGCTTTCTTGTCCTTCAAAAGTCAGCTCTAGCACCACCTCTTTAGGAAGCTTTCTCTGGTGTCACAATCCTATTTGCTTCCACCGCACTCTTTAAGAAATAAATATTTATTGTCCGCCTACCACTTGTCAGACACCTGGTGCGGCTGCTCCTTCTTACACTGTACAAAGATTCTTCCCATTGACCCATTGATAGGTTTTTACTTTGCTCTGCTGCTCCCCTCCCCCTGCCCCCTCCCCCAATCCCAGAGCCCACCTAGTACCTCAAGGCATCTTTAATGAATGAATGAAGTGCCTGTGAAGGGCCAGGTGCTGACTCAGAAGCAGCCCCTGCCTTGAGAGAGCTTACTCACAAACCCGGGAGAAAGGAGGAAACGGATAATCACCGCTCACAGTAAAACCAAGGAAGGAAGAAATAATGGCAGAGACAAAGGAAGCCCCTGAGCCCTCCGGGAAGGAAGAGATTCTGTGTGTGGGCTTTGTAAGAACACCTACACAGCTCCCTGAACCTGTCTCAAAACAAGCTCATCAAATGTGCAAACTGGCCTGACAAACGACCTGCACAGTCCCATTTAGATCAGTGGGGAGGAATACATTTGTAATCAATTTTCTTCTCTAAAGGTAATCACACTTAAGCAACTGAAGCATTCTTCCATTCATGTGGCGGCTGTCTTGCCAAGCTAAGTGCAGACCAAGGAAGGAGAGCAGGAGGCCAGAAAGAAACTGCATGGCATTCTTAATCTTTAATCTGCAGTTGTGTGTAGGTGTTGCAATCATTCTATTATTGGTCTTCAAGCAGCTGGCTCAATGGGAAATCAAATTTATGAACAGACCTGCTGTAACCACAAAGGATTCTTTCCCCGGGTGATTAAGCACCAAAATGATAGGTGTTAAATAAATACAAAAGGAAAGAGCGAGCAGGGGAGAGAGGTTTCCGGCATATCCAAGGGACAGTCTGGGAGTGGGCGGGAGAGTCAGAACTGGCTAGGTGGTGGTGTTCTGACTACTGTTCTCAGCCCCGGGTGACGCTCACCCCGCAAGTTCCCTTAGAAAGGGCACAGGCAAGACAGGAAAAGTACCTCCGCAGTTCATTCATAACCTTGAACGCTTTCCCCATGTGGGCAGGGTTGACCGTGATCGTCCGCTGGTTCTTCTCATCCTCCCCGGCCTGCGCAGGAGGCTGGGGGCTCGGCTTGATGCTGTGAACAGGAGGGAACAGAGGGGAAAGAGTGCATCACACATCGGTAAGCCCAGCCGTCCAACTACCCCAAGTCCACGCACTGAGCCGCCACCAGGGGCGTCTCTGCCAGCCTGTTGTCACCACAGACTCATTATGGAAGGAATGCGTTGGGTCAGGCATTTCTGCGGGACCTTCCCATGGAAAATGTATTTCTCTGGAGGAGGCCAGGTACTAGATCAGCCTCTCCCACCAGGTTCTTGGGTAACTTTGTGGAGAGTCCTCTCCTCCATCCTGAAAACAAGGGAGGTGGGTTGAGAGGAAGGGGGGGAAACGAAGCCGATGTCACTCACTACTTCACAGGGATGTTTGTTCATTCAATATATATTGGAAATGAGGGGCTGATGCCAGGGGCTTACGTGGAGAGCAAATGTTTTGAGAATGATGAGGGTAACGAATGTACAAATGTGCTTTATACAATGGATGGATGGATGGATTGTGATAAGAGTTCTATGAGCCCCCAATAAAATGATTAATAAATAAATATTTGACAGCACCCAAGGTGTGTCTGGTCCTTAAATTTAAGGGAGACACACAGGGAAGCAAAACAAGCAAACACTGGCACCTCGTGTGCTAAGTGTTCTAATTCGATTCCTGAGGCGCTACAGAGGGGGGGCAAATGTCCCAGGCCAGCAAGCTGAAAGAGAACTTCCCAGAAACTGAGACCTGATGGACGAACTAAGAAATCAGCCAAACTAAAAAAATAAAAGACTAAGCGTGCCAGGCGGAAGAAATAGGGTGCACAAAGAGCTAGAGAAGAAAATGAGCCCCCCCAAAAATGTGTTCAGACCACTGGAGGCTCAGTAAAGTGACAGAGTGGAGTGTGTGCAAACAGAGAAAAAACTAAAAGGGGCCGTCTTAGAAGCGCCTTACAAGCAAAGCTAAGGAGCTTGTTATTTCGTTCTTAAACAACGAGAAACCATCAAAGGGTTTTCAGCAGAGAAGTGGGGCAGGAAGCCGGTGAACCACCCTGTGCTTCAGAACGATTCCACTGGCTGAGTTATGAAGAGCAGTGGCACAAAAGTAAAGCCCTTGAGAACTGTGATCCCTTCAAAGAGGAGGGATTGCTATCATCGTAGACAGAAAGGCTCTCTCTCAAAATCCTCTACACCGAAATCCAGCAGTCAAACACTCAAATGCCTAAGGGATGCCAGCTAACTGCCCAATTACTCCTGAGCAACATAGTTTGGGGGTGGGGGGTGAGGGGAGAAGAGATCAAAGGGCTAAGCAGAGGCAAAGAAAAGAACTTTCTCCCCAAACGGGCAAAACCATGCTGCTCCAAAGTCAAATCTGGAACATTTGCTTGACCTCTGTAGGCTAGGCAGGCTCAATCGGGTTCCACCAGGGGAAACCAAACCTCCTCTGCTTGTGTAGGGGTCGTCTCTGGGTGTACAAACAGCAACTTGGGCAGTTCAAATCTACCCAGAGGCACTTCAGAAGTTCTGGCAACTTACTTCCAAAACATCACAGATTTTGAAAACCTTTGCCAAAAAAAAACCACCACCACCAAAAAAAGAAAAGCCGAGTAGCGAGCACACTTCTACTCGGAAACGTGCAGGGTTGCCATGAGTTGGCATCAACGAGGCTTGGTTTCGTTGTTATTGGTGTTCGTGTTTGTGTCAGGGGATGTGCAGTTCATTCCAACTCTAAGACTCGGAGGGCTGTCTTCCAGCGGCCTCCTCTAGTCATGCTATATACCATGTAGCCTTGACACTGGCTGAAAAGGGGGGACCTTCTGTGGTGGAGACAGTGTGCCAAAGGGTATATAGATCTAGATCTGGGACTCCTAAGTATTGGAACATTAAAACAGGAAGATCAAAATCAAGAGCTGCATGGAGGCAGATGACTGGAGCGCTGGAGTAGGTAAAGGGTACGTCCAATCAGTGAATGGGATCAGGGTGAGGAGTCACCCAGCAGAGATGAAACACTCGAGGCAAGAAACACACAGAAAAGGGTCTGTGTGGTTAGGAGGCCTCTAATCCAAACCCAGAAAGATCTATTTTCTACTTAAAGTTTCGTAGTCTTGCTTTCAGCACTTAAGCCCTTATTTCACATGATGTTGACTTTCGTGTTATGATGAGAGGTAGGGATCTAATTATTTTCCTAAAAGTTCTCCTCACAGAAGGCGTATTTGTCTCATCCTCATGCCACCTTGGTCAGACACATGACAAGGACCTACTTCTAGACTCTGATCTATCCATTGGTCAGCTCATCTTGTACAAGATGCACACGATTTCTAAAAGCTCCTAAGAAGTCCTGGGGTCTGGTATGACGTGGAAGAAGAGCACTTTGGTGGTGCTGTGGGTTCGAGGTCGGGCTGGTGGTACAAACCCACCCAGTGATTCGCAGGAAAAAGAGGACGCTGCTCTTACAAGATTGACCATCTCAGAAACCCCTCTAGAGGGTCACTGAAAAGAGTCAGCATAGACGTGATGGCCATGGGTTTGGTTTTGGTTTTAGGGTCTAAAGAACTTACACACACACTAGATTCATTTCTCTGTACTGTAATTAAAACTCTATTTTTGAACTGTTGCGTTGCCTAAAATGCAATGGGTTTTGAATCCAAAACTTCCCATTTCTAAATCTGCGATGATTTCATGAAGTATGTTAGATAGGCAGTTGGGTTATCCGTATATAAGCACACCTTGTCTACTCAGTCTTGTGAGCGTGTCATTTGTTTTTTGAAAGAAATCTTGCACAGGCGAGGAGGGCACAATATTGATCCAAGGGGATAATAGTGAAATATTCTCACCATAGCCCTGATTTTAAAGATGTTGCAAATATTTCCTCATTTTATGTGTTTGTTATAGGATTGTTGTAGGTGCTGTTTATTAAATGAAGAAAAGTCTATTTGTAATTTATTAAGAGTTTTTCATCATTGTTATATTGAATGTTATCAAATACTTTTGTGTATCTAATGAGATGATCATTTTTTCCCTGTAATCTAGAATGTGGTTACACCGAGGCAAAGCACTGGGGGAGTGCAGCAGAACAGCAAGGGAATGGAGCAGCAAGGTCCCCAGGGAATGCTGAAGGCAGACTTTGGGGCTAGGGCATGGTGCTCCAACAGACTGGACTGGAAAACACTCCTAAAGGCCAACGATCCTTGAACTAACTACAAGCTTT